CGAAATAATAAATATAAACGCGCGCGCGAGAGTTGCATTTCAAGCTAGTTTTTCGGTCGCATTTGTGTGCTGCTGTAAATATTAAGCGCGCGTGTGTGCACACACAGTGTGTGTGTGTGTCTTTGTGCGGCTGATATTATGGAAAGCACTAAACCAACCAGTTGTCAGTGCATTTATTTTATATGCGCCGCCTGCCCCTGCTACTTTTTCTCGAGAAAAGACTCTTCTAAATAAGAAGAGGTGCATTTTATTTCTTACCAAAGCACTAACAAATGACCATCAACTGGTTTTTAAACGAGTTCAATGGACCGTTCTCGCCTGCGCCGAGCGTCTCTCTCGCTGCTGCTCGTCTGCAGTGCCGCCGCGAGAGAGTGTAAAAAACTCTCTAATAACCGTCCGTCATAATCATTGCACCGGCAAAATGCATATTTTCCACTCTTTTCCTGTTGACGTTTCTCGGTGTGTGTCACTTTGCTTGCCAGAAGTTTCTAAATAAACGTTCTTCTCATTCCTTATTTTATGTGTTTCTTTCTTTCTTTCCTCTCCTTAACCGCTCGACAGATTTTATCCCGCGAGTGACAGCTGACTTGCAATTATTACTGCTCCTTGGCACACACGTTGATCGATCTCGTATTTTGATAATGACAAAGCCGATCTTTTGCTCAATCCCCACAATAACTGACTGCTCTCGGTGAACGCCGTGCAAATTGGGATTACAGCCATTGTCCATCCATGATAATAAGTCTTCCTTGAAAGATTGGTTAAATTTAAGAAAAAGATGCAATAAATATTAATTTTACAAATTGAACAAATTGTTAGGAATGAAGATGCAATTAAAATGGCAGACAACTTGCTTTTTTAGTAACAAATTTTTGTTTTAAAGTACAGATTTTTGAAACTTAAAGATAATTTTAATAGCAATAATATTTTGAAATTTCTTTATTTTGTTTAGTTTCATATTATAAAAAAGTTAAAACTTAAACAATAATATAATGTAATTTAATCTTTAATACAACATTAAACACGTTTTCACAAGTCGTGTGTTGCATGTATTTCATTTAAATTAAGTTTAAAAATTAGAAAGAAAAAAAATAATAATAAAATAATAAAATTTAAAGAACACTTGATTCAGGATAATTATATTGAAAAGACTTGCATGTCAATATTTCATGGATAGTGAAAAATAATTGAAATTAAATAAATAATCACTGAAATTTACAGATATCCCGAAATTAATAGAAACCCTGCAATATAATTCTTAAGCGACACGTTTTGTCAAGAGGAAAAAACAAGAAGTCTGCAAGTTGGGCCTAATTAAGAGCGAGTCCCCATTCGGAGGCACGACGGCGTGGATGATTCAATTTGGACCACCGGGCCAATTGTGGCGAGGCATCAGAGGGAAAACCAAAAGCGAACATAAAGATCAAAAACGGCGGGCGGAGCGCGCCGTATTTGTGCGAGAATTTGAATGTGCCTCGTCATGGCGCGGCGCAAATCAACTCCGTCCGACTAATTGTTTTGCCCGCGGTCGGCGCGGAGCGGAAAATAATTCCACATCCTTTCGGCCGAGATTCCTTTTCAGCGGCTTTCTCACACACCCGAGGCGTAAAAAATTATTTCTGCGCCGCGAGAGCGAAAGAAACCACCTGTCCGTAATCGGCATCAATGACACCCGCGCGACCAGACAAAGCGAACACAACCGAGCGAAGCGGGCTGGGGGAGTGTGAGATTTTCGCGCACTCCTGCCTCCTCCAATTTGGCGCAAATTGTGCTTGGGTGAGAAAGCAGACACCCAAAGCATGAGACACAGGCGGGGGCGTTCATAATTTAATTAGAGCGTTTTGAATGCGAAAAAGGAGTAAAAGACAAAAAAGCGCCGCGATGGTGAGAAAGGCGAGGTGTGAAAACTTCTGAGGGAAAATCAAAGCCAGACACTTTTATATCCGCCGCCCGAGGGGAGACCATACTTTTGTGCAGTGTCATTTCGGCGCGACGTTTTTCTGCACGCTCTCGCAGTCGTGCATGCACTCGCGGCCGCGTGATTCCGACAGTCTAATTATTCGCCGCTGAAAGGGGATAATTAGAAGCAAAGTTAATTAATAGGGGTGTGCGTGCTGAGAGTATTTTACTTCCACTCTGGCGCCTCTCCGTCCTTCCCCCAGCAGTTGATAAAAAAAACGGGGGGTTTCAAAACTGTGCACTAGAAAATTAAATAGCCGTACTAGCTTTGCAATTATTGAAGTAATGTAGGAATACAGATCATACGTTTAACTCACACATTTTATTATTTAAATTGAAAATACCTGAAAATATTCAACTTTTCTTTTAAGGAATTGATTAAAAAGATGTTTTTGTTCAGAGCTTATGGTATCTTCACTGAAAATAAAATTACTGAACATTTTCACTCAAGATCAACTTAAATTTTGATGCTAAATATTAAATTTATTTTTCCAACTTGATCGGGGAGGTATGAACGAGATTTGATCATTTTATTTTTATCAATTTTTAGTCAGGAAATTTTTTAGAATAAATAAATTAGTTAAGAAAATTCCCTTCATAAAGAATATAAAATTTAAAAAATTCAGTTCTCCCAATAAATTCAATTTTTCTGATGATGAATCCTTGGAATTCATATCTACAAACTTATGATAATGTAAGCAAAATTTACCAGCAAAAGTAATATCCATAATTGTAGTTTCAAAACAAATTCAAAATCATTCATTTTTATAAAAGCAGTTAGCAATTTCTTGATCAATTAAAAAGGCTGCAACCTTAGCAATAAATATGAATCTCAGATACGATCTCGATGCCGCTCCCATCAAAGATTGAAGCAAAATTCACTTAAATCCAGCCAAGACCTGAAAGTGCATTCCTAAAGTTGAGTGCACCGTGGATCAAGTTTGAGGCGTACCGAATCAATTATTGCGATAGGAGCCGAGCAGTAAAAAGCCCGATCTTCTCTCTCCCGTAATAAACATTTTCCACATAAAACAAGATGCAGATAATTAGTCGGCGCGCGAGAGAAAGAGAAAGAAAGAAAGAGCGGCAGGTAATGGAAAGAAAATTGTTCGCGCGGAGAATGCGGCGAGACAATTAGCCAGCCGGATCATTATTATTCCATAAAGCGGCGGCGACGAGAGCAAAATAAAAACGGGCAGGTTCGGCGGCTTTTTGATTTCAGCTCAAAGAATAAAGAAGAAAAAACAAAACACACGCCCACGCTTGAAGGAAAAAATTCGAAAACCGCGAGTTTTTCAACGCTTGTTCACTTAATTGTTTTGATAAAAATAACTCATGCAAATTCCTTCTTTTCCGTCCATCTTTTTGTGAAATCCGAGCAGCAGCCAAGCGCGAATTTGCTTTTGAACGAATTTCTATCTTTGGCTTTTCGTGCAGCTCGAGCGGGGCAATTTTTGCTCCGGTACAAGCGTTGTTGTTGTTTCTGTCGTTTGTTTGTACTTTTCTCTTTTTATTTATCCACGCTCTCTTGCTCGCTCTGCTCTCGCTGCGTATGTGCATGTAGTTATTTATGTTTACTTAAACGTACAAGATGAATTCACGGAGACTGTAAATCATATTTGTACACGGCCGGACAATCGCGCGCTGCTCGCTTTGTGCTGCTGGAAAAGCGGCGCGCGAGGATTAAAATAATGAAAGGGTTCTTTCTGCTTTCAGTCCTTTTTGTTTTCAAACTCGCCCGCATCAGTCCGGAATATAATTGCACAACTCATAATTGCACGCAATTATTTCGGATGTATTTATTACCTCGCAGTCTGAACATCAATCAAATTGAAATCTTTCCAGATATAATATAATAATTTCAATCGGTGAAACATCGGAGGAATTTTGTAATCGTTTGCAATTTAAATTCCGTCCTCGGGGGAATTGTAAAATTTCTCTAATGTATCAATTTAATTGAAACGTTCTTGCCGAGTGAATTCAATCAAGAGATATTTTAATTGGCAAACGTCTGCCGCCGTTCGGCTAATGAAGAGATACTCGGACTGAGAAACCAATTTTATCTCTTTATGTTTCACGAACTATTTAATCGTGCACAGCACATGCAAAAATGTATGAGAGATGCTTCTCTTGTGTGAGAAAGGAGATAATTTATCTTGCGGCTCATTTGGCGCACAATGCCTTTGTGGCAGGACGCTAATTAATTTGTTGACAGCCATTTTTCAGCGCGCAACTCTCTTTCGTATTTGTTTAAACTCGTTAATGTGCCGCGCGCTCAAGTGGCGATTATTCATATTTCCCTCACACACGTGATGCGTGAGCGTTGCAGAAATGAAGAAGCCACTCGACTGACAGACACCTCCTGTGCTCATTTGTAAACGTTGCCACTGACGCAGTTGATGCATATTAATTTGACCTAATCGCTTCACATCACTTCTTTTTGAGCTGAGATAGTTTAAATCAAAACTTTTTATTTGAAACTCCTACTTTAAACAATACAATTCTAAAACCCCGAGACTATTGGTAAATGTATGTTTTAAAAAACTTTCAACTCTCATATTTCCTCTGATTTAATCATTGCCAAATACATTTGTGATATTTAAAAAAGGTTTATTGAATTAGTGCAAAAAAATAGTGTTTAAAAAAATCTTTGATAATAAACACTATGCATAAAATAAGTTTTAATAATTTAGATTTATTATAATATTATATAAAGTTATTTTCAATATGCTATTTTAGTAAATAATTCTAATTTTAAAATATTATATTTAAATAAATCAATATTTTGTTAAAAAAATCCTGCAAAGCAGAGTTAATAATTATTTATTCGTTTCAATATTAATATTTGTAAATATAAATAAATGTTTATGACCTATTAGATCACCTGTATGCAAATTATATAATAATTCTCCTCTGTCGTCGTATCTTGATAATATTATGGTTTATTCCTACGTCATTCTAAAAACTCTCCTTTATCGTTCTAATGGGCTGTTAATGCTATCGCAATTCAACCAACAATGATAAATATAAAAAAGTCCTACCTGCTCATGTTTTTTGAGGTAGTTGAGCCTCGGGAACGCCTTGGCGCAGAATTGGCAGGGGTAGGGGGTGGCCTCGGTGACCCCCAGCGTGAAGCCGAGTTCGCTGTCCGGCGGTTGGCTGCTGGCCGAGGAACTGCAGCTGGACGAGGCGCTGGACGCGCGGCCAGCAGGGACGGCCGCCTTGGTGGCCGCCACGGCGCTCGGGCCCTCAACGGGCGCTTCCTCGATGGTGCTGCTGCTGCTGCTGTCCGACCTCCAGCTGCTGGTGCTTCCTGGCTCCGAACCGAGTGCCTCTGCAACAATCACAACCGAAACGCGGTAATTTGCATGCTAAAGACGTGTAATTTCACGAGAGGTGTATCATTAATTGGAAACGACCATATAATTGAATGCTTCAATGTAATTTCATTAAAATCAATTTGACGCCGCAGGAACGGCGCTTTTACCGTCAAAAAACACGATAATGCCAATTAATTGGCCATAAACCCGGCAAGAAGCGCTGCATCATAATGCGTTTATTCGCCGATCAATCATTATCCCGATGACAGCTGAATCGACCCCGACCATTGGCAACATCATGTGCATAAGTACAGTGTGTATTCATATGCATGCCTCTCAACATCTGAAGAGCCGCTCGTTTTTAATGACAACCTTTATTAAAGACTGAAGGAAGGTTGGGAATTGTTGCCGAGATATAAAATCAATTGGAAGACAATTAAATTTTTTTTTATAAAAACAGTGAAAATTGAATTGTGATTTTCGCTACTTACCAGCACCCACGCGACTTGTGATTTTGGGTTGCAAATTACTTAACAGGAAATTATAGAGAATAAAAAATTATAAGTTTCAGCGCATCTGTGAATGTAGTTTCATTTTTGACTGAATTTAATTATTAACGTGATATCCTGGTTTCTTATTCCTTATTTAAATTCAACGTTTATGTTAAAACATCAAATATACTCAATTTAATTTGACCGTTATTTAAAATATAAATTAAAAAATTTTACTTTTTACAATATTTATTAAAAAAATAAAATACTATTTTAGTATTTGTACCATATTTTAAATTAGATGCCATTTTATACCGTGGATGGAAAAACCAAAGAATAAAGAAGTTCAGAGTTAATATCATAGTTTTAAAAAATTTAATAAATATATAACCACAAATTGTAAAGATTGCAAAGTAAAATATTATCATGTACTTAGAATCTTTCATGTATCTACAACATTAATGTATTGTTGTAAATATTGAGAAAAAAATATAGAAATTAATCAATAATAAATTTTGTTGACTTTGTATGAAATGAATGAAACTAAAAAGAGATGAAATTTTGATCAATTTAAATAATCCAACTAATAGAAAATAGAATCAAGGAAATAATAAATAAGTGAGGCTAACCGAGAGTGGTTGTCACTGTTGTTTGACCAGTTTAATTCCAAATTACAAATCGTAAGAAAAGAAAATATTAAGTTCATTCAAAAATTGTGTTGCATCAATATTTTTTTGAAAAACAAAAATGTTTGATAGGCATTACGAGTTATGCAACGTGCCGTGCACGCGGGTGAAAAGCATTGCCTAACAACTAGGAGACTTTTGGTCTAGGCAAATCACTGTTGGGAGCGCGAGGAATGAGAGGCTGCACCTTCGCCTCCGCTCAAAATGCATTTCCAGTTGTTTCGTCACCGCGCGACCGATTCGCGGGACGATAAAAACAAAATAAATAATCGCCTGCCTGCCGACGGACGGACGCAAAAAGGCTGAGAACGATTTTACGAGTCATCAGTCCTGTGCCGACTTACAAGTTTATTTCATTAGTTTTGCAAGTGAACACGCCGCCGACTAATAGCGCCTTTTATTAATTAGTATTTTCCATTCTGCCGGCGGTGTCATTAAGTAGCCGAGAGCGGCATTTAAATAATTCATACGTACGCATCTCACAGCCACCGAGCGACGGCGGTATGTTTATTAATTTTTTTTCCTCAAAGCTAAAAATGCTGCACTTCCATCATCAGCGGGGAGAAAGAAAGAAGGATACGCGAGGCGGCTCCTTGTATGTATGTGCATTTTCAAATAATTAATGGCGCGCCGCATGTGCATTCGAAACTGGAATATCAACTCGGCATCTCTGACGCCCAGTCAAGAGCGGCCGGCCGGCCGGCATCTCTCGCTCCTTTGTCCGCCGCGACTTTATTTTACACCATCGCAATTTTACGTTCGATACGAAAACGATCGTCAAATTTTATTGCCCTGCGCGCTTTTATCTCCTTGTTTGTTTCTTGTCGCGCATCCCCGAGACTAATCAAATAAGCAGTGGTGACTTGGGCGAGTCTTGCTGAGGGCAACTTATCCTTGCAAGGACAAATTAATAAATATATTTGTTCCAGCCACCCAGCCTTAACAACAGGTCTAATTACTGTCAAAAGCAATGACCAATAATTTATTTATTTAAGAACACTTATTTTTTATAATCTCAATTATATGTCATTTTAGAACAAAGATATTAATTTATTTTATTTTTTTTAAATATTAAAACAGTAATAATTATTGTTTTTAACTCAATTTTATTTTTAATTCTTTGTATTTTTCTAGAATTGCTATTAGCTTCCATTCCCTAATTACGGACAAGGGCAGTTTGGATTAAAAAAATATGTGCACAAAATTATAAATTTACAAGAAAACCCTCCTCTTTATAAATCAAGCAAACTGCTCACTTAAATAAGATGGTCAGTAGCTACAATTATGTCTATGTCTAATTCAAACACGATTTTTATGGGATTCAGTCTCTAGTCTATTATTTTTATTGATTTGTGTATAGAGTAGAAGAAATTAGACCATTTCCTTTACCAAAACATAATTTTAATTTGAATGGAAAAATTAATAATTAACTGAAATTTGCGTTTGTATATTTTAATTAATTTTTTCTGTCTATCAAAAAAACAAATTATAGTAGTTTTTGAATGTGATATACTTGAAATTAAAATAAATACCACTTACTTAGGGACTTACAGGCGGAAGATGATGATAAGTTGGCGCGTAAGTGGTGTAAATTAATTTACATTTGGCGCTGGCCGGGAGCACCAACAAGTCATTTCCCGTCTCGGCCAAAGTTAAGAAAGACTATTTATTTTTTCTGCTCGGCGGGGTTAATTAATCAGGGTCATCACGAATTTTACAACGGCGCAATTTGGAGAGTAATGTGTATCTGAAAGGGCGCGTAATGCTCGTCTAGAGATCTTTGCAGACAATATAATCAAGTTTAATGGCGCTAGACTATGATAAAGAGCTTTAATTGAGCTTGTATATGCTGCGGCGAGAGCTAAAAATAGTCCGCGTGTCAGATAATATCGCATAATAAAAAGTCATTCATCCTTGTTTTCTACTTGACGTACTACATACTTTTACTATATTGTTTACATTGTCAAACAAAGACACCTTTAGAAAAATAAATTTATAATATTTTCATTTTTTTCTCACAAGTCATATTTCAATTTTGCATTTTGAAGCAAGTTTTATGATAAACAACCGAGTAAAACATGAAAAAGTTGAATTAATGATTTTTGTATAAATTTTTAAGGAATTGCGATGGCAGTAAAATATTTTAATATGATATGACAGATTCAAAATCAGAATTTTTTAATTTAGAAAAGGTAGAATTTTCAGGAGACGGTATAATGTGAGAATTTGTCGATTTTCCTGGACATTTAAGCGGCATTCTTGGCGTTAAATGAAGTGAAAAGTACTTGCAGCAACACGCACTTGAAATGAACGGCTGGGAAAATTATATGCATTTACGCGCCGGAGCAGCAGACAGAGTGATGCAATTCGATATTATAGGTGTCGAGAGTGTCGTGTAATCAATGATTAATGTTTATTTTTCTTATTCCTCCTTAGCAGCATTTATTCCCGCGCGCCAATCGAGTGTGTTTAATTGCAAAGTATATACGTATTTCGACTCTTTCTCTCTTTTTTTCAATAAAATAATTTCATATTTCTCTGGCAAATCCGCGTGCTGTGACGCCGAGATTATATTCCTGTGAGCATTATAATTTAAACGGCAACAAGTGTTTGCAATTTTATCTCTCAAAGTGCATTTTTGTTCCCTCTGGAGAGCACGTTTGGTGAGCACAGGCATCTGTTGCAAACTGGTTTGCATCGCTGTTTGTACGCACTGCTATGCCAAAAATTCACTCCTCCAACCGAGAGGCACTTCTTTTCCAAGTGCCGGACTTGCTTGGTAATTTACAAAACGGGCAATTACAGCCGATTGCTTTAAGTTGCGAACGTGTTGGACTTATTTACAACTGCATGAGAGGGAGAAACAAACTAAATGATGCGATGGGAAATGTTTTTATCCTATGGTTGTGAAAAAGCGATCAAGTTAGTTTAACTCATCTCTTTGTCAGTGTGAATCTCAAAATATCTTAATTTTCAATGTAATAATTATAAAGCAATTCTTTGCTCCTTGACTTATAAAATTATTTGTTGAAGCAGTACTTTCCCATAATTAATGCATTGTTGTAGAACATGCATAAAATTAAATTGAATGAAAGAAAAAAAGTAAATGAAGATTGCAATAAAATTCTAATCCATTCAATTTTTTTTGTTTTTTATTGTTTATAGAAACAAAACACATACATTAGTATTAAAAATTTGAAAATAGTGATAAAATATTAAATTATAATATAAACTACAAATATAAAGTTAAATAATTTTGTCTTATTTGCTTTTTGTTTGTAGTTAAAAAAAAATCAATTTAATTCAAGAAGTGTCGTATGTGTTCACATAGATGGTCAAGATAATAGATCTGAATTCAATGACGACCAATATAAAACCGCCATCAAAATATTTATGTTTTGGAAGCTTCCGGAAACTTTAAAGGACTGCGTAATTTAAATGTTAATCACTAAAGTTATTAAATTAAAACCGTTTAAGCCGATTCTGCTCCCCTACGTTTGGTTCAAACGTGGGTTGATTGCCGCGGTCAACAACCCTTGGTGAACCTTGGCCAAAAAAGCCGCAAAAGGAGATTTAAGTCGAGACGCTTACCTCTCAGATCATGCGTAGTGTTCTCTTTGTTGGACTGAATTTTCTCGATGAGAAGTTCGAGTTTGCTGCTGTTGCCCTTAAATAACATTGCAGCACCGCGAGCACATGCTACGGAGCAGCGAGCAGCGTTTGCGAGTGCGGAGCAAGTGAGCTAGTGCGGCGAGCGCATTGTTTGTCTCCAGGGTTCACCCTTGGTGTGCTCCCTCGGCGACCACCTCTCATTGGGTGGGACGTCGACTCCAAGAG